CGATGATGACATTGCTCTAAAACAGGCTATAGGCTACATGTGCACCACCAAGTCAGAACAGTAGGCTAAGTTATGAGGGGGAAAGGGACCACATTATTAGGGTGAGGCACATTAACTACTAACAGCAAAATACACTTAGTCTTACTTTCTTAGCTGCAGTATACATATATGCCTGGCATTTACATCATTTATGCAGCAGCATACAATACATTTTTGGACTCACCGTTGTGCTCTGCTCACTTGAACAGGAAGGTGGCGCGGTGGTCCTTCTTGTGGGCAAATTATGTCATCAAACTTTGTGTAATCGGAGTCTGGCATTCTCTGGATTTATGGTGCTTTCAAGACAACTGGGAACTCGGACCACACTCCCTCTCCACTGAATAGCAGGGGATGCAAAATAGTGATTGCTTTGCAACGCTTGCAGTTAGCCACTGATTCCTTCCAAACCACTCAATGTTGAATTTGCGATTTCCAACTTGTTGTGTTTATGTCTAATGGCCGATGAGCACCGATACGTTTTATCTATAACTTATCTTCATATGACAAGGATTGAAAATAATTTGCCAGTAGATTGTCGACGTGATTCATGATGATGACTGCTTGTCTAGCTTGCTAGCTAAGATTTTGAAAGTATGATGTTGACATGATCAGTCCAATCAAAGCTACGGTAGATATGTGATTTAACGTCATTGTATCTGTGGCCAATGGGCTTGAGCCTTCTTGAATGGGCACTTCTAATGTATGGAAGCACCCAAGGGGGCTTGAACTGCCTAGCTCTCCCTGTAGATTTTGCGGTGACGTAGTGTCCCCCATGAGTGACAGAACACTGAGCCAATCACGGCGCAACTAGAGAAGCTTACCAACCGCTATGCTCTGTATTTTCCGCTGGCTGGCGCTCCACCACAGAAAGCACTGAGCTAGGCTGAAACACCTGCATTTTGGAGCTGCCTTACTCAAGAAAGCAAAAAAAAGAGAGACCATGTTTGTATGGAGGCTTTATTAACTCAATAAAAATGTGTTTTACATTGTTTGCAAACTGATATGGTATTAATGCAAAAATAGCATGCCCTGAATGACGGGTCGCCACTGCTGTCACCCTCACCTAGCTACACTATCTAACTACTCCTCTCTCCTAACTGCTGGACAGCAGTATGCACTTATGACTGTAAGTCGCTTTGGATAATAAGCGTCTGCTAAACGGCATTTTAATTAAACACTGTGCCCCGTGTTGTCGGCTTGCAGCGCAAACTCTCCCCATTGAGCAGTAGACTGTATCACGGTGACATTCCAGATGGTTACTACCAATATTACAAGTTATTTATTGTCTAGGCTGCCATCCTATAAATGTAAATAAAATCAAGTGGGATGGAACAAATTGGCCAAGTGAACTACCGCCAATGACAATTTAATGGGAAGGTAGGAAGTGGGAAGCCACTCGAAACAACGCCATTGCACATTCGCACCTGTTTGCCGTTACGTTAGCTAATTGACATCGAGATGGTGACAAAGTTATTTCTCCCTCGACCATTCGAAATAAATATCACTTTCTTTTACTAGTTTTAACTAGTGCCATGCTGCTGTTGTTGCCAGCTGGTCAGCATAAACGAGCTAGCTGGGAAGGGCTCATCAGGATGACCGAATCCATTTGCCTCCACTCGACTGTTCTAGCTGTGCGACATACATCATCCATTTGGGCACCAGGCATGTCCACGTAGCCTACTGTCCCAAACCATCCTCGGGGTGGAACAATATTTTTTTTCAACGATTAAAAAAAAATCTTTGTAATATTATATACATTCAAGATATTCTTGAGGGGGTGAAAACATGTATTCATGTTTTAGCATTTCCCCGATTATTTGTGCTTAATTATGCAAAAACGAATTGTATTTACAGCATAGAAAAAAATTCAGTAGATGCTTTTCCCACATGGAACCAGTAGGTTTGCTAGACCTTATTAATGGTTTCCTTAAACCAAGGTCAGAATACGGTGTATCTGTAGCAGTGGCGGCTCCTGAAAAAATTCTCAGGAGGGGCAATTTTTCTGATGATTTAGGTGACCTACACACATTTTAAAAAAGATATGTCCAGCAACAACATGAAGACAGGGGCAGCATATAAGTCAATACCAGAAGCATTTATTGACTGATCTGGGGAGATGGATTCCAGTTTCTGTGACAGATTATAAATAATCTCTGATGCCTTTGTTATATTAGCTTTTGGTTGAATGTACTGTCGTAGTAAATATATAATGTTATAGCTTGGTCTGACTAAAATCTTGTGCATGACCCATTTTGTGTTGGGCGTTTGTTTTCAATCAATGCTGTTCCTATCCTATAACAATGGACAAAAGAGTCCTATCTTGTCAGCCTTGTCAGCAGGTGGCCAAGGACAACACCCACGCCATAGGTCTCTCAGTTCTTCCAACTCACGAGTTCTTGCTCTGAGGACACACACACACACACACACACATCATCACTGATAACACACACACACACACACACACATCATCACTGTTAAACACACACACACACACACATCATCACTGTTAAACACACACACACACACACACAAAAATCCCCTCTCTTTAGGCTGAACATTTGAAGACAGAGAACCCGACTCAGAGCCAATGCAACAGTGGAGGGGACCTCGCCCAACTCATCAGGACCAATCAGAAGATCAGAACTACTAGATTCAACCTACATCATTTATTGTATAAAATGTCAGCACACAATGTTTTCGGGGCTCTCTTCAGATAGCTCCCTAAGAGTTTGACGAACGAGTCCGTGCACGCGATTCCAGATATCTTTACCTCTGAATAAACTGCCTTTATTATACCATATCCACCCTGTCCAAAGTCTCTACTTGGTCTCAGTTCTCCAGTAAACTTGTGATTATCAACAGTACACAACGGTAACAAACAATTGGGGGAACTCACGGGGCAGATAGTAAGGTCGCAGTGACACAGAAAGCAGTTCAATGTCGGGGCTCGGGGGTACAGAGTCGCTCTCTTACCAGGATCGATTTTCCCTGTGACTGTCAGATCGAGGTCCGCTCCGACCAGGGTGAAGCCGGCCGGCTCCACTTCTCTGTCCGGGACTCTGTCATCCAGCCAAGTCTCCCAGCTGTATTGGATTCCGCTGCCAGCAACGTTTTCATTATTTAGTCCGTTCGTAGCGGGTATGTACACGATCAACAAGATCAGTCCAAAACCCACCACTGGAAATCCATGGTTGGCAGAATGTTTGTAAACTAAGTGTACAAATTAAAAACATAAAATAACGCCACTAAGTGTACAAATTAAAAACATAAAATAACGCCACATTGCAGGTCGCAACAGAGACGCTGCTAGCCGCTATTTGCTTAGTTACGTTCATGGTTACGTCACGTATGACGAAAGCGCGTAAGTGCAAGCCCACAGACACCCATAGAGAATGTATTGAAAGCTTTGAAATTTGAAAAAAATAGATTTTACATGACAGGCTATGAGAGACTTCTGGGCGATTTTCAACCTGACTGAAATCGCCCAAAAACGGGCGGGGCCATTTGAAGCACGACTTTAGCCTGATTTGACATTTAGTGGCAGTCAGATCAGATTACAACACTGATAACTACTGTTGCCGTGATATAATTGATTAGAAAAAAAATCCCTTCCTTTTCCCGTTTGGCAGTGCGTCGCCCATATCGCCCTATTGAACAGGCCGTCCCTGATCTGTAGACATTGTTCATTTATTTTGATCTCCACACGAAACAAATAGCAGGTGAACAGCACTATTGTCGTGCTTAAGTTTAAGGTCAGAATACGCATAGAGAGAAACGCGCATCAAATTGAAATTACATTCCATCTACACGCGCTTAACTCGGGTCCTGAGTGTTTGCCTTAAACAGTGAAATGGCTGATTTTAAACATGTTTGAGATATTAAAAAGATCACTGAAGACCTACAATGTCTCACTTGACATTGAATAATGTACAGTTGAAGTCGGAAGTTTACATACACTTTCTTGTTTACAAACTATAGTTTTGGCAAGTCGGTTAGGACATCTACTTTGTGCATGACACAAGTAATTTTTCCAACAATTGTTTACAGACAGATTATTTAACTTATAATTCACTGTATCACAATTCCAGTGGGTCAGAAGTTTACATACACTAAGTTGACTGTGCCTTTAAACAGCTTGGGAAATTCCAGAAAATTATGTCATGGCTTTAGAAGCTTCTGATAGGCTAATTGACATCATTTGAGTCAATTGGAGGTGTACCTATGGATGTATTTCAAGGCCTACCTTCAAATTCAGTGCCTCTTTGCTTGATATCATGGGAAAATCAAAAGAAATCAGCCAAGACCTCAGAAAACAAATTGTAGACCTCCACAAGTCTGGTTCATCCTTGGGAGCAATTTCCAAATGCCTGAAGATACCACGTTCATCTGTACAAACAATAGTACGCAAGTATAAACACCATGGGACCACGCAGCCGTCATACCGCTCAGGAAGGAGACGCGTTCTGTCTCCTAGAGATTAACGTACTTTGGTGCGAAAAGTGCAAATCAATCCCAGAACAACAGCAAAGGACCTTGTGAAGATGCTGGAGGAAACAGGTACAAAAGTACCTATATCCACAGTAAAACAAGTCCTATATTGACATAACCTGAAAGGCTGCTCAGCAAGGACGAAGCCACTGCTCCAAAACCGCCATAAAAAAGCCAGACTACGGTTTGCAACTGCACATGGGGACAAAGATCGTACTTTTTGAAGAAATGTCCTCTGGTCTGATTAAACAAAAATAGAACTGTTTGGCCATAATGACCATCGTTATGTTTGGAGGAAAAAGGGGATAGCTTGCAAGCCGAAGAACACCATCCCAACCGTGAAGCACGGGGGTGGCAGCATCATGCTGTGGGGGTGCTTTGCTGCAGGAGGGACAGGTGCACTTCACAAAATAGGTGACTCAAACAATATGCATGAAAACATTCAGTGTACAAAATGTATCATCACTTAAAAATCATATTCCCTGTAGTACTGTATCTAAGTGAGTGCATTTCACTTTGAGGAAACTTCTATAGTATAGTCTTAATATAATATAAGCTTAGTACAGTGCCTTAAAGTATTCACACCCCTTTACTTTTTCCACATTTTGAATTCACAAAGTGGGATTAAAATATATTTAATTGTAATTTGTTTGTCAATGATCTACACAAAATACTCTGTAATGTAAAAGTCGAATACAAATTCTAACATTTGTCCCAAAAATATTAACAAATAAAACACTAATATATCTTGATTATGTTAGAATCACCTTTGGCAGTGATTACACCTGTTTCTTTTTACACCATAATGACAAAGTGAAAACATGTTCGGTTCTTTTGGCACATTTATTGAAAATTAAATACAGAAATATCTAATTTACATAAGCATTCAAATCCCTAAGTTAATACATGTTTAATCACCTTTGGCCAGCTGTAAATCTTTCTGGGTAAGTCTCTAAGAGCTTTAAACACCTGGATTGTACAATATTTGCACATTATTATTTTTTAAAATTCTTCAAGCTCTGTCAAGTTGGTGTTTGATCATTGCTAGACAACCATTTTTAAGTCTTGCCATTTATATTTTCAAGCTGATTTAAATCAAAACTCTAACTAGATCACTCAGGAACATCCAATGCCGTCTCCCGAATGGCGCAGTCGTCTAAGGCACTGCATTGCAGCGCTAGCTGTGCCACTAGAGACCCTGGTTCGAATCCAGGCTCTGTTGTAGCCGGCCGTGACCAGGAGACCCATGGGGCGGCGCACAATTGTCCCAGCGTCGTCCAGGGTAGGGGAGGGAATGGCCGGCAGGGGATGTAGCTCAGTTGGTAGAGCATGCCGTTTGCAACGCCAGGGTTGTGGGTTCGATTCCCATGGGGGGTATGAAAAATAATGTATGCACTCACTAACTGTAAGTCGCTCTGCATAAGAGCGTCTGCTAAATGACTAAAATGTAAATGTAAATGTTTTGGTAATCAACTCCAGTGTATATTTGGCCTTGTGTTTTAGGTTTTTGTCCTGCTAAAAGGTGAATTTGTCTCCCAGTGTCTGTTGGAAAGCAGACTGAACCAGGTTTTCCTCTAGGATTTTGCCTGTGCTTAGCTCTATTCTGTTTCTTTTGATCATAAAAAACTCTCTAGTCCTTGCCGATGACAAGCACCCATACCCATAACATGATGGAGCCACCACCACGCTTGGAAATATGAAGAGTAGTACTCGGTGATGTATTAGATTTGCCCCCAAACATAACGCTTTGTATTCAGGACTAAGTTTATTTCTTTAACACATTTTTTGCAGTTTTACTTTAGTGTCTTATTGCAAACAGGATGCATTTTTTGAATATTTTTTATTCTGTACAGTATTCCTTCTTTTCACTCTGTCAATTAGGTTAGTATTGTGGAGTAACTACAATGTTGTTGATCCATCCTCAGTTTTCTCCTATCACAGCCATTAAACTCTGTAACTGTTTTAAAGTCACCATTGGCCTCATGGTGAAATCCCAGAGTGGTTCCTTTCCTCTACGGCAACTGAGTTAGGAAGGACGCCTGTATCTTTGTAGTGAGTGGGTGTATTGATACACCATCCAAAGTGTAATTAATAACTTCATCATTCTCAAAGGGATATTCAATGTCTGCTTTTTACATTTTTACCCATCTACCAATAGGTGCCCTTCTTTGTGAGGCATTGGAAAACCTCCCTGGTCTTTGTGGTTGAATCTGTGTTTGAAATTCACTGCTCGACTGAGGGACCTTACAGATCATTGTATGTGTGGGGTACAGAGATGAGGAAGCCATTTAAAAATCATGTTTAACAGTATTATTGCACACAGTGAGTCAATGCAACGCATGTGATTTCTTAAGCACATTTTTACTCCTGCAATTATTTAGGCTTGCCATAACAAATGGGTTGAATACTTGTTGACACAAGACAATTCAGTTTTTAGTTTTTTATTAATTTAATCCATTTTAAATTCAGGCTTTAACAACAACATGTGGAAAAGGTCAAGGGGTGTGAATATTTTCTGAAGGCACTGTAAATCAACCCATCCTGATCATTCGATCTATATCAACCCATAGCTATCCCCGTTTGACACCTTCACCTCTGCACTCTCTGACAGTATCTGACTGTCTCCCTCTCTCTCCCACACTATCCCCTCATCTGCCCTATCCTCCTCTCCCTCCCTCTCCCACACTATCCCCTCATCTGCCCTATCCTCCTCTCCCTCCCTCTCCCCACATCACCCTCTCTCAATGGAGCTAAGAGTGAGGAAAGTGTGGGGGGCCGGAGGTGGTGGTTGTGGCTGGGTGGGCTGTCAGCTGGATGACGGGGAGGCCCCCCGAGAGTGTGGCCTCAGCGCAGCCTGGTATTCGTGTGGGCCAAGCTGCAGCAGCGTGGTAGTCTCCGTGCTGGGGGCCAAGCTGCAGCAGCGTGGTAGTCTCGTGCTGGGGGCCAAGCTGCAGCAGCGTGGTAGTCTCGTGCTGGGGCCAAGCTGCAGCAGCGTGGTAGTCTCGTGCTGGGGGCCAAGCTGCAGCAGCGTGGGAGTCTCGTGCTGGGGCCAAGCTGCAGCAGCGTGGTATCTCGTGCTGGGGGCCAAGCTGCAGCAGCGTGGTAGTCTCGTGCTGGGGCCAAGCTGCAGCAGCGTGGGTCTCGTGCTGGGGGCCAAGCTGCAGCAGCGTGGTAGTCTCGTGCTGGGGGCCAAGCTGCAGCAGCGTGGTAGTCTCGTGCTGGGGGCCAAGCTGCAGCAGCGTGGTAGTCTCGTGCTGGGGGCCAAGCTGCAGCAGCGTGGTAGTCTCGTGCTGGGGGGCCAAGCTGCAGCAGCGTGGTAGTCTCGTGCTGGGGGGCCAAGCTGCAGCAGCGTGGTAGTCTCGTGCTGGGGGCCAAGCTGCAGTAGCTGGGTCTGGGAGGTGTCCTTCTGGTTCTGAGGGGGGAGGGGGAGCACCACCTGCTGCAGGGGGGTGAGGCCCTGGTTTTCCTGGCTGACAGGGGGCATGGCAGGGGGGCACAGCCCCTGGTAAAGTCTTTAAGATTGGGGCAGGGCTGGTGATGAGGGCCTGTGGGTTGGCCGCCGGGGCCTCGGCAATGAGCACCTCAGGGTGGCTCTTGGCCTTGTGGGCCACCACGCTGTCCTTCTTCTCAAACGTCTTGCTGCAGATGGAGCAGGAGAACTGGTAGTTTGTGTCAGCGTCGTGCTTCTTCATGTGCCAGTTGAGTGAGGCCTTATGGTGACAGGTGAAGCCGCAGATCTCACACCTGCCACAGGGTGGCGATAAAGACATGGTTAAGTTTGGGGCCGGCAAGTTCTTAGGTCAATCTCAATCTAAAAAAACGTATTGGGCTCCATTTTACCTCATTTGAAATGCACTGATCTGTACTTAAAACACCGTAGCACTGACAATATTGCTGCAACCATGATTCTTAAAAGTTTTCTGCTACAATATCCATGTAGAGGTTGTGATTATATAAATGTGAGTTTAAAGTAATTTGCTGGAAAATGTAAACGGACATCGTAAAAGAGTTACAAGATCATTGCCACTGCATTGTGAGTAATAAATGTATTTTCAGCGCTGATCAGAATGGGGCTAAACTGATGTTTTGGCTCAGGAGTCAGGGACACTCACTGGATTGGCTTTTCTCCTGTGTGGATCATGCGATGAACAGACAGGTTATGGGAACTCTTGAAGGCACTGGCACAGTATTCCCTCTCATCTGAAAGACAGACGACAAGCACAAAAGAGAGGGAATTATAGAACAAAATGGATGGAATGGATGTCAATAGAGATCTGGCGCTGGGAGCCTCAAAAAGCACGATATTATTTTTTAAAGCATGTATTTATAAAGAGAGGAGGCTGGTAGGAGGAGTTATAGGAGGACATGCTCATTGTAATTGAATTAATGGAACAGTATCACAAACACATGGTTTCCATGACATTTCAGTGAGCCTGTCCTCCTATATCACCGCAGACCAGCCACCACTGAAGTTCCCTATGATCTAACTGAACTCTGATGAGAGCTGAAGTGTGTGCTGCTCCTATTGAAGGACCCGTGTGGTTCTCAGCATGACGCAACAGCTGTTTCTGTAGACGAAACAGTCGCCCACACAAGGGGTGTGGACACACATACTTTTGCAACAAATGCTGGTAAGTTATGTGGTGCTGAGAGAGAGAGAGAGACAGAGAGACAGAGAGACAGAGAGACAGAGAGAGAGAGAGAGAGAGAGAGAGAGAGAGAGAGAAGAGAGAGAGAGAGAGAGAAGAGAGAGAGACAGAGAGAGAGAAGAGAGAGAGAGAAGAGAGAGAGAGAAGAGAGAGACGAGAGAGCGCGAGAGAGAGATAACCACTAGAGAGAGAGAATAGGACATCATCAGAGCGATCTCTATCTCTCTCTCTCAACAGAGTCCCCCGTAGCCGACGATAATAGAGAGACAAGAACTAGGGAGAGAGATAGAGAGAAGATCCGTATAACTATAAATATCTAATGAAAAGAAAAAGAAAGAAGATAATATCGCAGAGATGTGGAAATGGCAAGATTACATACTAGTAGAAAGATTTTAAAAAAGGTGTCAATGTTACTCCAGATTGGATGGCAGACCTGTAGGTAGTGTGGGTGTGCTAGCCCTCCATCTCACAGCGAACATACTGCACTGGGGGCTTCTTCCTGTTAACAGGAGAGAATGGATTTTATACTATTAATGTAATGTTCCAGAAAGGGGGCCTTTCCAAATATGGAGAGCAGACTGTTGGGACTGAGATGACGGTTACAAGTTCATACACGGTTACAGTTCATACACGGTTACAAGGCAAAATGTAAAAAATGCACCTTCTTTTTGGTAGCCGAGGAGTTTTGTCATAATAATATAATAATATATAATATGCCATTTAGCAGACGCTTTTATCCAAAGCGACTTACAGTCATGCGTGCATACATTTTTTTTTTTTTTTTGTGCATCTTTCTGCCACCTGCCCCTCCTAAGATGAGAGGGTAATGAACAGCTTAGCAATGGCTGTGTAGAGTCTTAACTCCATGACATCCCTTTTCCTCCATTTGTAAATCTATCTGTCCATCATGTTCCCCCATCCATCCCTCCATCATTTACTTCCTAGGAGGCTCCTCTCCCAACTCATTTCCTGTCTTTATCCTTCTCATCTTTCTGCTTCGTAGGACATAAAATACATGTCCTTCATGTAGATCTTTTATTTAGTTACTCGTATACACAGTATGTAGATATTACATGCAGAGTTGGTTGATTGGTGGAGAGATGCTTGTCCTTCATTCATATTAATGTACTGGTTTCAAACTACTACATACTACTATTCATTTGGACAGGCAGTTAACTGACTACCTCTTTGCAACAGGTTTGTAGTGGAGGTCATTGGGGCGATCTCTGAAAGGAGGGTCATCGACTTCACCAGCTCTGGCTGAGGGTCCACGTTGGGTCTGGGAGCGTTTATGTCTGGAGGGCCTGGGGGCCAGTGAAGGGGACTGAGAGGTCATACTACTATTCATTTCTCCATGTTTTAGAGAACATTTATTAATTTAAATTTTATTAATTTGAGAAAATTTTGAGAAAGTTTTTTAGGGCTGGCTTACATATAGTCTCATTCTAAGGGCCAGTTTCCCAGACACAGATTAAACCCAGTCAAGGGTGAAAAAGTATTTTTCTACTTTTATATAGGGGGACCTCTAGCGGGGCTCATCCCCCCTTTCCCCCCACCCCCGGAGGGCCCCCCCTCATCCTTTTAATTTTCCTTTTTCTGCCCTCTACGTCTTCCTGTTTTTTAATTCCCCTTCCTTGGGAACTAAATAATTCCTTTCATTTTTCTTTTTTTTACTCCAAACCCGGGGTAATTTCAATGCCAAATTTGGGGGTAGGGGTTTTAAAATCTTCCCCATTCTTAATTTACTGGTTTCACTACCCAACCTGGGGGTAAATCTACCTGAACATTTTTTTTGGGGTTTTGGGGCATCTTTTATTAATTTTTATTTTTGGGCTGGGCTTTAGCTTTTTGGGGCCTTTGAACGATCCCCCTTTTTTTCCTTTTTTCTTTTTTTTATTTATGGGGGTTTTGGGGAAATTTTTAGCCGGGGGGACTTACCTTCTAGCCGGGGGACACATTCCTGGGGGAAAATCTACCTTTATGGGGGCCCTCTACCTGGGGGCTCTACCTCCAGCCGGGGGGGTTTCACCCACCTGGGGAAACTCTACCCCCCCCTGGGACCCCCCCGGGGCCCCCCTACCTGGGGACATCTAGCCTCATCATGGGGGACTCACCTCTACCCTGGGGGACATCAAACCCACGGGGGGACATCTCCCTTAGCCTGGGGGCATCTACCTTTGGGGTTACCCTAGCCTGGGGGACATCTAGCCTGGGGAAATTCTAGCCCAGCCTGGGGGGTCTAGCCTCCCCTGGGGGAATTGGGCCTCAGCCGGGGGGCACTCCCAGCCTGGGAAAATCTATCCCTGGGGACATCTACCTCTACCCGGGGGACATCGAACCCCTCTTAGCCTGGGGGACATCAGCCTCTAGCCTGGGGCCCTTTTCTAGCCTGGGGGACATCCCTCAGCCTGGGGCCCCTCTAGCCTCTAGCCGGGGGACTCAACCTCACCTGGGGGGGGGCACTACCCTCACCTGGGGACACCCCCTTTACCGGGGGGGACATCTACCTGGGGGGAAACCCTCACCTGGGGAACACCCTCCCCCTGGGGGACATCTAACCTCTAGCCGGGGGACACTGCCTCAGCCTGGGGCCCCTCTAGCCTGGGGACTCAACCTCAAACCCTGGGGGACTCTAGCCTCTACCGGGGGGGACATCTACCCTCTGCCGGGGGACTTACCTCTACCGGGGGGAATCTACCCCGGGGGGGAATCAAAACCTCTTCCCTGGGGACATCTACCTCTACCGGGGGGACATCCTTTAGCCTGGGGGACATCTAGCCTGGGGGACAAATCTACCTGGGGGACTCTAGCCTCTACCTGGGGGACATCTACCCCGGGGGGAATCTAGCCTTACCCTGGGGGGACATCTACCTTGGGGGGCATCTACCTCTAGCCTGGGGGCCCTTAGCCTGGGGGACATCTAGCCTCTAGCCGGGGGGGACATCAAACCTCACCTTGGGACTCTAGCCGGGGCCCTCTACCTGGGGGACTCTCCTCTAGCCTGGGGACCTCAGGGGGGCCTCCTACCCGGGGGACATTACCTCTACCTGGGGGGCATCTACCTGGGGGGACTCTACCTCTAGCCGGGGGACCTTGCCGGGGGGCCCCTCAGCCTCTACATGGGGGACTCTAGCCTCTACCTGGGGACTCTCCTCTTACCTTTGGGGGACATCTCCTCTAGCCGGGGGGACATTTTTTAAAGCCTCTCCTGGGGGACATCTACCCTAGCCCTGGGGACATCTACCTTTCCTGGGGGACATCACCCCTGGGGGTACCTAGGGGGCTCTATCCCCTGGGCATGGCTAGCCGGGGGGGAAAGCACGTCACTTATGTAATTTGATTTTTGGGCCTGTCTGGCCCAATGGGATGGCTTTCCCTTCAAATCAAAAAAATCCTTTTATTTTCCCTCGCCAATAAAACATGTAGACCTTACTTAAAATGCTTATTTTAAAACCTTAAAAAACCCCAATGCGTTCGTGGTTTAAAATCTTCTTCTTTGTACCTAAATTCTCTCCCGGGCTTTATCGGGGGGTACCGGGTACCGAGTCAATGTGCGGGGGTTACAGGTTAGTGGAGGTAGTCTGTACATGTAGGTAGGGGTAAAGTGACTATGCATAGATAATAAACAGTGAGTAGCAGCAGTGTAAAAACAAAGGGGGAGGGGGGGGGGGTCAATGTAAATAGTCCGGGTGGCCATTTGATTAATTGTTCAGCAGTTTTATGGCTTGGGGGTAGAAGCTGTTAAGGAGCCTTTTGAACCTAGACTTGGCGATCTGGTACCGCTTGCCCTGCGGTAGCAGATAGAACAGTCTATGACTTGCATGACTGGAGTCTTTGGCAATTTTTAGGGCCTTCCTCTGACACCGCCTGGTATAGAGGTCCTGGATGGCAGGAAGCTTGGCCCCCAGTGATGTACTGGGCCGTACAAACTACCCTCTGTAGTGCCTTACGGTCAAATTCCAAGCAGTTGCCAGACCAGGCGGTGATGCAACCGGTCAGGATGCTCTTGATGGTGCAGCTGTAGAACCTTTTGAGGATCTGGGGACCCATGCCAAATCTTTGTCATGCCCTCTACACGACTGTCTTGGTGTTTTTGGGCCATGATACTTTGTTGGTGATGTGGACACCAAGGAACTTGAAACTCTCGACACGCTCCACTACAGCCCCGTCGATGTGAATGGAGGCATGTTCAGCCCTCCTTTTCCTGTAGTCCACGATCATCTCCTTTGTCTTGCTCATGTAGAGGGAGAGGTTGTTGTCCTGGCACCACACTGCCTATAGGCTGTCTCATCGTTGTCGGTGATCAGGCCTACCACCGTTGTGTCGTCAGCAAACTTAATGATGGTGTTGGAGTCGTGCTTGGCCATGCAGTCGTGGGTGAACAAGGAGTACAGGAGGGGACTAAGCACGCACCCCTGAGGGGCCCCCGTGTTGATGATCAGCGTGGTAGATGTGTTGTTGCCTACCCTTACCACCTGGGGGCGGCCCGTCAGGAAGTCCAGGATCAGGTTGCAGAGGGAGGGGTTCCTTTTGTACAGGTGGGAAAGGGCCGTGTGGAGTGCGATTGAGATTGCGTCATCTGTGGATCTGTTGGGGCGGTATGCAAATTGGAGTGGGTCTAGGGTTTCCGGGATGATGGTGTTGATGTGAGCCATGACCAGCCTTTCAAAGCACTTCATGGCTACCAACGTGAGTGCTACGGGGCGGTAGTCATTTAGGCAGGTTACCTTCGCATTCTTGGGCACAGGGACTATGGTGGTCTGCTTGAAACATATGTGTATTACAGACTCGGTCAGGGAGAGGTTGAAAATAGTGAAGACACTTGGCAGTTGGTCTGCGCATGCTCTGAGTACACGTCCTAGTAATCTGTCTGGCCCTGCGGCCTTGTGAATGTTGACCTGTTTAAAGCTCTTGCTCACATCGGCTACGGAGAGCATGATTACACAGTCGTCCGGAACAGCTGGTGCTCTCATGCATGCTTCAGTGTTGCTTGCCTCGAAGTGAGCATAAAAAGGCATTTAGCTTATCTGGTAGGCTTCCGACACTGGGCAGCTCGCGGCTGGGTTTCCATTTGTAGTCCGTAATAGTTTGCAAGCCCTGCCACATCCGATGAGCGTCAGAGCCGGTGTAGTAGGATTTAATCTTAGTCCTGTATTGACGCTTTGCCTGTTTGATGGTTCGTCTGAGGGCATAGCGGTATTTCTTATTTCCTCTGTTCATTTGACAGTTACTGAGATGTTTCTCATAAAATGAAAGTTGTGTTCGCTACTTTGGCTAGGGACCAAAATGTATCTCTCAAAAGAGTCAATAGTGATTAAGTACCATGGACATGAAACAAAATCGCCCCCATTCAGAAAGTGTGCCGCCTTCTACAACAGTGACTAGAAATACACTGAACACCATAACATGTATTTGGACAGCGTTTTGGATTTGAGATCAAATGTTTCATATGAGACGACAGTACAGAATATCACCTTTTGCCATGAAGAAATCCTAAAACAAATCATAATCCGAAACACAACCAAAACAAACTGAAAATGCAACCAACAAGTTTGTATAGTAACAAGCCTGATGTACTCATTGTGTGCAAGGAATATGGGACCAAATACAAAACTTTTGACTACTGGGCATTTCTATGTAAAAGGACCCATGAGCACCAACATGTGAAGTACAAAGGAGTCAAATGAAAGCTAAGAGTCTATATTTTGGATAAATTAAGGCATATTTATACATTTGGAATAAGCAAAGGCTTTGATTTCTGGTCAAAACAGATGGAAAGTCTTAAAAAGATATTAGAAATACATAAAAACACAAAAATGTTGAAGTCCCCTGCAAACTAATAGCAAAACATATTTAGTGAGAAGAAACTATTTGTCTTCTGTCAGTTTAAAGAAACATTGCCTTGTAATTCCCTCAACCAACAACGCAGTTTTATGACAAATAAGAGCTGAGAAAATCTTTACGAAATAAACTAAAGTAAAAAAAAAACTAAAAGAGTAACAATTACATAACAATAATGAGGCTATATACAGGGGGTACCGGTACCGAGTCAATGTGTGGGGGTACACGTTAGTCAAGGTAATTTAGGTAATATGTACATGTAGATAGGGGTAAAGTGACTATGCATGTATGAAAGTGTATGGGGCCAGGCCTAGTAATTTTGTGCGAAACCCAAACTTGACCCAAAATATCCCGAAGTGACAACATATTGTTTTTGTCTTCACAACAGGGGGAGCACACCATTTTGGGTTGTGAAATATTTTCCCAGCTAATTATTTAAATGCTTTTATTAACTAATTGTTATCCTTACACTAGCCTATAAAGACACTTGTCTTTAGACAATCATTTACAAAAACAGGGGTTCTCCACGTTGCTCACCATTTTCCACTTGAGCAAGAACTACACAGCACTATGCATATAATATACCCATCGACAACTATAGAGCTAAAATGCTCAGGCATTGGCCACTATCATCAGCCATACCGGCAGGCAGTCAGTCAAGAACCGCAACAGCAACAACAAGTTTCATCCGCGACTGCTAGGCGGGCTAAAAACCTAGCAAACATAACACATTTACATTTACGTCATTTAGCAGACGCTCTTGTCCAGAGCGACTTACAAATTGGCACAAACAGACATTAGCACTTCTTACAAATCGTTATGATCATGTCCCTGGAAGTTAGGCTAAAACTTACTCCAGGGCAGGGACGGAGAGAGAGAGAGAGAGAGCGAGGATAGAGAGAGAATAGAGAGAGAGAGAGAGAGAGAGAGCGAGAGGAGAGAGAGAGAGAGAGAGAGAGAAGATAGAGAGAGAGAGAGAATATAGATAGAGAGAGAGAGCAGAGGGAGAGAGAGAGAGAGAGAGAGAGAGAGAGAGAGGAGAGAGAGAGAGAGAGAGCGAGAGAGAGAGAGAGAGAGAGAGAGAGAGAGAGAGAGAGAGAGAGAGAGAGAGAGAGAGAGAGAGAGAGAGAGAGAGACTCCCTCTATCTAGGCCTATATCAACGCGCCATAACCCATGATGTGCCAGCCTCCATAGCGCCAGCCAGACACCAAGACCCACAGACACAAAGACAATATATTAGTAGAGACAGCCAACCAGGGACGGCCTGTTCAATAGGGCGATATGGGCGACGCACTGCCAAACGGGAAAAGGAAGGGATTTTTTTTCTAATCAATTATATCACGGCAACAGTAGTTATCAGTGTTGTAATCTGATCTGACTGCCACTAAATGTCAAATCAGGCTAAAGTCGTGCTTCAAATGGCCCCGCCCGTTTTTGGGGCGATTTCAGTCAGGTTGAAAATCGCCCAGAAGTCTCTCATAGCCTGTCATGTAAAATCTATTTTTTTCAAATTTCAAAGCTTTCAATACATTCTCTATGGGTGTCTGTGGGCTTGCACTTACGCGCTTTCGTCATACGTGACGTAACCATCCAGGGCCAGGTCGCGGATATCACTGTCTTTAGACCGGGGTTGCCTTTGGCTTTCGACTGTCCCTTTCCTACAGCGAAGGATTTCTGGTTTTCTACGGCGATTGTTTTGCCCCGCTGCTCCTCTCTGCGTGTTTCCTGGCCGCAGGACCTCGAGTGGCTCTATCCCGCAAAACTCGACCTGCACCCCCGCAAAACTCGACCTGCACCCGCTGTGCTGGAGGAAGTGCTGGAGGGAGAGTAATACGGACCCGGCAAGGTGACTCCGGTTTTCACGCTACACAACCCTCGCCACCTCAACACTCTGCCAGGCGCGTGGTACCGCACTCGATCTCAGGGATGGTGCTGCGGCCTTCTCATCGGGGGACTTATTCTCGCCAACAGTCCCGGAGTTGCTACCCGAATTCCAATTCATCTCGGGGTCCATCCCCGCCTCCTCCATTCACAGAATGACTTTTAAATGTTTAATAATACAAATTGTCAAGAGGGAAATATCGAAATTCATATTATATTTTAAATATGTTTAATTGATAAAAGGCATTTCATATATTGCTTAAAGACATAGTAAACCTCAATTTTCGCTTGTCAAAGATGAGGCCAGTATAAATCGCGTGTCCTTTAAGGCCAAATCGTGCCTGAAAGCACACTTACCTTCCCCTGCATGAAAAGATGGACCCCCGAGACACGAATCCGAAAATGTCTGTGTTGATGGGATATGTAGTCATTATGAAGGCAATTAAAATAAATGTTTGATTTTATTTTTGTTTGACAACGTTGTCAAATTGGATTTTCTACCCAAATTAACCCTAGTCCTGGACTAAAAAGCATTCTAAATGGAAAATCTCAATTTAAAGGACTGGGTTTAACCTGTGTTAAAGAGCAAACGCATTTTAAAAAGCAACGAATCCCTTTGAAAACTGCCTATGTGGCATCGATTCAAGTCAGAAACTATTATTCTAGTGTCAACATTGACTACGAAGTGTAAATAGGATAATTTTGGTCATAAAATCAGAACATCCATGCATCACAACGGGGTAAATGAAGGTTGGGTTTTGATTTGATGACGTCCATTTACCCACTAACATGGGGTGAACAGCTGCGGTGATTGCTCTCTATCCAATAGCATAGACAGTGAGACTTTAACTTCAGAAATACTGCACCAAACACCTTAGTTAGATGTAAAATTGCTCAACTAAAACATCCTCGGCAAAAACATCAAAATTAATTACAGATTTCTTGAGTTATCTTAGATTCATTCTGGGGATTTTGAGGAAGTGAAATAGGCTTCCGCGTCTACAGTGTCTCATTTAAAAAACAAACATTTTTAGTCATTTAGGAGAGGCTCTTATCCAGAGCGACTTATAGTTAGTGAGTGCATACATTTTCATACTGGCCCCCCATGTGAAACGAACCCACAACCCCGGCGTTGCAAGTGCCATGCTCTACCAACTGAGCTACACGGGGGGCCTCTTGGGTACTCTGAAAATTGGGGGCGGAATTACAGAAAGAGCCCAGGGCAGGTGAGTCGACGTTGAATGCCGGAAATGGGCTAAGTAACTGCTTATCTGATGTTCAAAAGTTATTGTCAGTTATAAGAAATGATAATGGATACATTCCGTGAAAATAAAGTAAAAATAAACTCCAAGAGTCACAAAATAGCAAAGTTGGGTTGGAGCTCGCTAAATGGCAGCCATCCAGAACCATCTCTATCAGACGGTCTTATCCAGATAAGATCAGACAAAACAACTATTGACACAAGTATTTATGGCATGCCATCGCACACCCATGTATTTATCTCAGCCTCACATAAGTACACACACACACACACCTTGACGGCATTCTCGTGCCCTCATCTTTGAAGTCCTGGAACTTCATGACCTCCGCCATGATGAAACATTTCTCAAAGTCAGCGCCTTGCTGGCTTTCTGTAGGACAGACAGAAGTAATAGATAACGCTTTGATAGTCACACCCACACCTCATTGTGGGAGAGAGAGAACCAAACTGGACAGTCCACGCTCTAACCTCGTCTGGTCCTGCTGTGAAAAAATATTCCAACTGCAGAGCTGCATAGCCAGTCTTAATGATCTTAGTCAGTACACTGCAATCTCATGGGGGACAAACATCATTAACCAAACACGGAATCGGTCAGGAAACACACCTCCAAGACTGAAATGTCGTTTTTTTCTAATGAGCAACAGAAAAACACACGTGCCAATCGGAGTGTTCAGTGGGTCTTGAAGAGTGTTTTACTAAATGCCCCTTTCAACAATTTTTGGGGGAGATTCTTATAATAAATAATTAGATGCAGTATTAAATGGCAATGATATTGATACCTCAGATTCTGTCACTGCGTAAAACGGTCTGTTTCCAACCGTGTAAAGACATATCCAAATGTCTTTAGTCATAACCAGTCAGACCATACTTAGTGGAAATGTCTTTAGTCATAACCAGTCAGACCGTACTTAGTGGAAATGTCTTTAGTCATAACCAGTCAGACCATACTTAGTGGAAATGTCTTTAGTCATAACCAGTCAGACCATACTTAGTGGAAATGTCTTTAGTCATAACCAGTCAGACCATACTTAGTGGAAATGTCTTTAGTCATAACCACATTTTCTCTCATAGTCCAAGAGCAACTGATCGTCGCGGTGGTGGCTCTTTTCTCCCTCACTCACCTGTCCATCTCTCCATCTGAATTCCATGCTGTCACTGTCACCTGTCCACTCAAGCTTAATATTGTTGTTATCTATCGCCCCACCAGGTGCCTTTGGAGAGTTCCTCAATGTGCTTGACACCTTGATAAGTTAATTTCCTGACGATGGCTCCCAGCTCTTCGTACTTGGCGACTTCAACCTCCCCGACGTCTGCCTTCCAGTGTTTCCTCTGTGTTCATTTACGTGTGGTGCTGCGCCACGGCAGAATCATTGCCGCCACACCAAAAGAAACATCCTATTTCTACCAAACATAGTTTCAATAAAGTTCTGTAAAGCACATTCGCTTTTCTTGGTAAATAGATAATCTGTCTGGGTTCAACACAGTTCTGAAGGTTATTTAGCTCTGTGAGCTGTGGCAGGCAGCCTGCAACTCAAGAAACACAGCGCGCCAGTGAGCAGTGTGCAAATGACCAGTGCTCGATAAAGACACTCTGCGGCGCGAAACACAATTCACTTGAATCACTTCAGAATGCACCTGCGTGAGAAACGGCATGCCAGGGACAAGTGCGCGAGTGACCAGTGCACAATACAGAATCTCTGCGGCGCGAAACACAATTCACTTGAAATCACCCCAGAGTGCACCTGCGTGAGAAACTGCAAGAAAGGTACGTTAGCTTGTTTGTTTGACTAACATTAGCTAGCAAACTAGTTAACTACATTAGCTAGCCAACTAGTTAACTACATTAGCTAGCTATAACCTACTAACATCATTTAGATCTATAATACTGCTGCCACAACTGTAACGGCAATTAGCTATCCAATATCCACAAGTATGTTGATGATAGAAACATGATTAACTAACGTTACTAGTCTAGCAAGTTAGCTAGCTAGTTCGTTTGGAACTGTATCAAGTGCAAGCAAGATAGCTACATTTATCTGTCTTCGATTAGATTTTTTTTTTCTCAGATGAGTTTATTGAAATACTTCCAGCCTCAGCAGCGAAAGAGAAAGGGGGAGCAGGGACAAGTGTCAGGTAACGTTAACTTAGCTAGCTAACGTCAAATCAGCCTGAATTAAATGAAACTTTTCTTTAGTTAGCTAACTCTTTAAAAGCTTAAGATATCATTTTTATAACAAGTGTATGGCTTACTTTACTAGACAGAGAAGAGGCAGAATCCTGGGAGTGAGGTAGGGATGCATGAGGGACAGAATGGAGGAGAGGAGAGGAGAGAGCCAGGAGGGGAGATGGAAGGAGAAAAGGAGAGAGGAGAGCAGAGTGAAGGAGAAGAAAGAGGAATAGATAAAAGGAGAGGAGTAGAGGAGGAGGAGAGGGAACGAGGGGAAGATGGAAGAAGAAAAGGAGAGGAGGAGGGAGGAAGAAAGAGAATAGGGAAGGAGAGAGGGAGGAGGAGAGGACAGGAGAGAGGAGGAGAGGAGGAAGGAAGAGGAGAGGGAGAGGAGGAGGAGAGAGAGGAGGAGGAGAGAGAATGGAGAGGGGACAGGAGAGGAAGGGGAGAGGAGGAGGGGAGGGAGGGGAGAGGGAAAAGGGAGAGGAGGGCGGGGGGTGGGGCAGAGCAGAGGGAGAGGGGAAGGGGAGGGGAGGAGAGGTGGACGAGGAGAGCGCGAGGAGGGGGAGAGGAGAGGAGGAGGAGTGAGAGGAGAGGACTGAGGAGAGAGGGGGGGAAGGAGGAGGAGGAGGAGAGATGTTGGACGGAGGGAGAGGAGGAAGGGAGGAGGAGAGGAGAGGAGGGAGAGGAGAGAAGAGAGGGAAGGAGATGGAGAGGAGAGGAGAGGAGAATATGAGGAGAGGGAGGGGGCAGAGAGAGGAGAATAGGAGGAGGAGGAGAGGAAGGTAGAGGAGGGACGGAGGAAGAGAGGAAGAGAGGAGAGAACAGAAGGAGAGATATGCCAGCCCCCCAAAAATTTATAGTCTACAGCATTATGTAGTAACTATCTGTAATAGATATTGCCCCAGCCACCAGTAACTATCTAATAGTATGCCCCAGCCACCAGTAACTATCTAATAGATATTGCCCCCCACCAGTAACTATCTGTAATAGATATTGGCCCCAGCAACCAGGTAAACTATCTGTAATAGATATTGCCCAGCCACCAGTAACTATCTGTAATAGATATTGCCCCCAGCCACCCAGTAACTATCTGTAATAGATATTGCCCCCAGCCACCAGTAACTATCTGTAATAGATATTGCCCCAGCCACCAGTAACTATCTGTAATAGATATTGCCCCAGCCACCAGTTAACTATCTGTAATAGATATTGCCCCAGCCACCAGTAACTATCTGTAATAGATATTGCCCCCAGCCCACCAGTAACTATCTGTTAATAGATATTGCCCCAGCCACCAGTACTATCTGTAATAGATATTGCCCCAGCACCAGTAACTATCTGTAATAGATATTGCCCCAGCCACCAGTAACTATCTGTAATAGATATTGGCCCAGCCACCAGTAACACTATCTGTAATAGATATTGCCCCAGCCACCAGTAACTATCTGTAATAGATATTGCCCCAGCCACCAGTAACTATCTGTAATAGATATTGCCCCAGCCACCAGTAACTATCTGTAATAGATATTGCCCCAGCCACCAGTAACTATCTGTAATAGATATTGCCCCAGCCACCAGTAACTATCTGTAATAGATATTGCCCCAGCCACCAGTAACTATCTGTAATAGATATTGCCCCAGCCACCAGTAACTATCTGTAATAGATATTGCCCCAGCCACCAGTAACTATCTGTAATAGATATTGCCCCAGCCACCA